GCCCCGCCCCGCCCGGCTGCCGCCCGGCCCCGCCCGCCGCGCCGCCACATCCCCGCCCGCCTCGGCGAGCCCGGGCGGCCCCGACGGGCGGCGGAGGGCGGCCGCTCCCCGCTGAGGGAACCGAGAGCGCTTCGAGGGAGCTCCTCCGTCCGCGGATCCGCCGCCGGGCGCGGACGGGGCGCCCTCGGCCGCCTCGGGGTGCCCGACGGTGCGCCCCGCTGCCCGGCAGCCCCCGGCCTCAGGCGGCAGAGTGGGCATGTGCGGCGCGTTCCGCACATGCCCATTAGGGAGGCCGGGAGCCTGCGGCGGGGCCGCGCTCGTCCGGACCGCCGTACCCGGGACCCCCGAGTAGCCGCCGGGCAGCTCCGGGCGCCGGCGGTGTCTCCCGGCGCGGGGCGCGATCTCCCTGTAAACCACGTGTTGAGCTTAACGACCAGAGTGGGCGAAAACGTGTGTTTGTGACAAGGGGCGAGAGGCTGTTCGGGTTCCTGGCGCTCATCAGCTGCCCCCGGCTTTTAGTTGTCAGCTCGGCGGTGCCGGTGCGAGGGCCCAGCTGCTGCCCGGCGTGCTGCCTGCTGGTGGGCGAAGGGGAAGTTTCAGTCTGAGGGTGTTACACCTGTTAGGCTGTGTGAGCAGCAGCGGCTCCCTGGTGCAGTTACTGCTGGGCTGACTGACATCGTCCCTCCCTGTGCATCTCTACAGTGTCTGACCCGAGATCGTGTTGTCACACAGAAAGCCACCTTGCCATCGTACCTACTTCTTCCCTCACAACAAGGTTGCGCTTGGAGGCTAGACCAGTGTTTTGTAGCTTCCAACACGGCCAGTGAGGGGATCGTCTGACTGAGTGGAGCTAGGCTATGCCCACCCGTGTCCCCTGACTCTCCCAGTTCACCACGTTCCAGCCCGGTGGGTGCATGCCTTGTGCTCCTTGTCATTGGCAGCTCACAAAGAGCACTTGTCATTGCTACTGGCAGTGTCATGTTGCTTTTGGTCTCCATTAATTGACTTTTATCATTACTCAAAATGAAGGGGGCTATTAATTATTTCAGCAGGCAGCCGTTCCTCCACAGCAACCTCAGCAAAGTCAATGTGAGGAGCTGGCATCCAGCACAGTCCTCAGCATGCTGAGGCTGGGGTCTGCAGGCCTGCCCAGGCTGTAGGGAGCAGCCCTGTCCTTGCTGAGCACCCCTCAGCTCTGCCTGTCTTCTGCAGGGAGCAGGAGGGCAGGATTTCCATCATCACGTCTGTGTGCCACTTTACTACAGCTTTGAATGGTGCTTTACAAAATAGGTAATGATGTCTCATTGCTCTGGAGAGTTCCCAAACTAAATTAAGGAGAGAAGAATGGGAAGAGATGACCATCCAATGAGGTGCAGGTGCTGGGGAGTGGGATAAGGAGGGGGAGGGCAATGTGATTATGTCCTTTCAAAGTGAATGCCTCAGGGCAGCCACTTTTGGGGAGAGTGTAAAAGGGAGATGGAGAAAGGCGTGACTCATAGAGACAGCATCTGCACAGGGTTTAGGTCTGCTATTGAGAGCGGAATGCTTCTTTCAAGACCTGTGCAAGGAGACTGATGCTCGGCTGCTCCCTGTGACTTAGCACTATAACCCCTTCCTTCTCCCTTCCCAAAGGGGTCCTGTGGAAGAAAAAACTGAGAAGTGCTGAAGGAGGGATTCCTGATGGGTGATTTCAGATGAGTGAGGAGGGCCTCTGAGAAAGGAGAGGTGGCGGAGCAGCTGGATTGGCTGCAGAAGGTATGCAGAGAATTGGGATTTCGTACTGTTCTGTTAGGCTTGAGGAACCAGAGGAGGTATTTTAGGAACGTGTGCATTAGATTTAGTGCTGTGACTGGGGAATGATTTTTGCAGCAGAGTGATGTGTGGTGCAGGTTCCAGCTGGAACAAGGTTACCCACAGTGAGGAGATGGTAACAAAAGTCGTCTTTGTTTTTGAGAAGGAGCTAAAAGAAAAAAAATTCCAAGGAGACTTTGGCTAGGTTTGCAAGGGTTACAAACCCTTTTTCACTGAATTTCCCTGTATTATGTTCATTTGTACCTGTAGAAAGTCTTGGTGATGGCATGTTGAACCGTTCTGCTTGTGCCAAGGGATCAGAATGCCAAGAGGCCAGCCCAAAGTGGCTGGGGAAAGCAGCAATTCTCATCTTATCACCCAACCGTGCTCTGCATGCTATTTCTTGGCCTTAGGCCTGGGACCTGGGCCAGCACCAATTAAATTGGTGAGGGCACAGACAAGGTTAATGACAAAGTTAATCTCCCATCGCTGATTGGTGAGGGAACCTCAGAACTGGTTGGTGGTTTTTGTCTGTTTGCAGTTAACAGGAGAGCATAGTCAAAGGTCTCCGTAATTCCAGGCTGAATCCTGTTGCAGAGGGAAGATTACCCAAAAGTACTGATCTCTTCACTGATGCGTACAGCACAGGGATGGCAATTTGCTTATACTGAAAAGAGTGTTACAGAAACACCATGGAAAATTGTAAGTTGGTCTTGGTGCAAATAGTAGTTTATATTTAATAAATCAACCATGGCCAAGGGGTGGCCACGCGTGTTGTCGCTTGTACTCACAGATTTCATTGCCAGAATTCAAGATGGCTGATTCCTTACCTCCTGAGACAGGCAAGCAGCACAATCAGCCTTGTTGAAATTCTTCCTCTTATGTCTGTGAGCCCCCAGTGTTCATTGAACAGAAGGGTGAGAAGAGATAACGGTGAAGGATTGCTATGGCTGTGCATGCACTTTGGCATTGCATTCTCGGGTGTCCTGATGTTCTGCCACCCATGGCGGGCTATATGTACACTAATTGGACTTGCTAATGCAGATCTTGGGAGGAGACACAGGAACCAGGAGGGATCTTTTTGCGTGAGCTAAAAAAAAAGAAATTCTTCCTCCTGGTACTGCGTGAACACATCTGCTTTTTGCAGCCTGTCCTGAAAATGCAAATGCATAAGTGCTCCTCACTGGCCTAGTGGATACGGAGACATATAAAAAGAATGTAAATCACCAAGTAGTACTTTGACAGCTGACACCCATGCCTTTCCCGAGGGCCCTAATGGTCACTCTTCGGCAGCTCTTTGCTGATTCATGAAGACTGCTAAGAGAAAGCGTGTGTGACTTATCTTTTATAGAGTGTAATAAAAAGAGGGAAGTGCCCCGTGTGGCTGAACTGCAGCTCTGTGGTCTGTCTCTGAGATGCTCCATTAGCTGGCTGCTGGCAGTGATGATGCAAAAATGGGAGATCCCTGGTTGAGCCATTAGCATGAGCAGGCTGAAAAACTGTAATGTCACAGTGAGCCTGTGCTTTTCCTTTGCTTGTATGAAAACTTGGTAGAGGGGAAGGATGATTCTGTTCCCTTGGATGTTGGCATAGCTGTACAAAAGCAACGTTCTGCTTTTGGTTAGATTCTCCCATATTCTGTGAGATGCAGACTCACTTAGCCAAAGCCTTTGGACCATTATTCTCCGCCTATATTTTTGGCCAGGTTCTCTGATGCTCGTGTCTGACCAGACTTTAATCCTGGCCTCTCACCTGTTTGTTTCAAAACACTGACTGCTGACATCTCTGTCAGCACTGCCTCCAGCATTAGGAAAGGGTCTTTCCTTCACCACAGAACAATAATCTAAAGAAAGGTCCTTCCTTGCAGAAAGATGGATTAAGTTCTTGTTTTGAAATGCAGTGTAAATGGTCCTGATGTACTGAAATGTAACAGCTAATATAAGCAGACGAGTCAATTTACAGCTTTCATACTACATTTTAAGAAATAAAACAAGCAGACAAGACAGCACAATAAATCTGCCCGCTGTCCCAATCTGGTTGATATTAATTGAATGTAGTTTTAGCAAATAACTGGATGATGCGGCTTCCTAAAAATAAGAAATGCACTTACATGAATTTGTCCAAGGAGGCAGAGGACAGTCTTAAACAATATATTCTTTAGGATGAAAGTCTTTTGACCAATGAAGCAGCGTATATGTTTGGTTGCTATCTTGTGTGCACAACATGCAGCTCACGTTAGAACAACTCTGACTATACCAGAAACACAATTACATTATTCAGCACTCAAGAGAGACCAACAGAAAAAATAAATATCATTTAGGGACAAATTATTCTAGGAAAACAGGAATTCACCACCAGGTGTATAAAATTAAGGCTTCTTTGGTTTTAAAGAGGCAAGTTTTAGTAGAAAACAAAAACGTTAACTAGGAGTTTAGTAAATATGTCTGGAGACACTGGAATTTTGGCAGAGCGTAACTCCGAGAATAGTGTGAATGTTTCTTTTCTGTTGATGTGTCTTCACATAAAACTGGGCAAAACAAGTAGGTTGCAAGTAAAAGCAAAATAAAACACACATGGAGATACTGAAATAAGATAGCATTTCATTTCAAATTCAGGAGTAAATGTATGCATATACACACCTATATACACGTATATGTGTATGCAACTGTGTATATACACCATATATAGATGGCACGTGTGGAAGTGCATGTTTACTTGTATACATTTCTCTGAGTATACCTGTAAATAAATATTTACACG